CAAAGCTTTTATGAATTATCTTACAGTTCCAAGATATTAAACCGAAACCATTTCGACCAATTGGTAACTTCCATATTTGAAACAGCCCCTGGCAAGGAAAGACAAAGAAGATCCAAAAAGGCGGGGACTACAGGTCATCGAAGACGTCACCGTCTCATATCAGCAAGAAAAATACTTGAGCAAGGACCAAAGTTTGCTTTCCCACCTCGGCTGCAACCCATTGACAAGGTTGCCCTTGTCACAAATAATGAATCCAAAGCTGAAGTTGAAAACGCTTCACAGATAATCAACGAGGGAATCGATTGCATCACGAGCCAAAGAAGCTCAGCAATAGCAGGTATGAGCTTTCCTTCACAGTACAGGAGGTAATTAACAAAGATCTTAATTTATGTGTTTCTGACAAGGAAGGCGGGTTTGTCGTCCTAGATTCAGACACATACAAAAAGAAAGCTTCTGCCGATATGGCAAATTACTTCATTCACGTAGACGTAAAAAGGAACACAAACGCTAAACATGCAGTCAGTCTTGATAATAACAATCTGAACAGTCCCTGCACAAAAGTATGAAAGGCAAAGAAACAACGACTGCAAGGTTTTGTCTCTGTGAAAGCCCGCAAAGACGGCAAACCATTTCAGGCCATTGTGTCAGAAAGATAAACCAGGCAAATTCATCTGCCGATGTTCCTGTCCAATCCCCTGTCTTTGATATAATCCCAGGATTCATACAAAATCAAGGATTCGGAACAATTGATTACATATCTTCATCTTCAAGAAAATAAGCCGGTGACGTATCTGGGTTTTCAATAGATATTCAAGACAATTCCTATTCGATCTCACACATAACCCTTACGACAATTCTCCACTCTACCGTCGATAAGTAAGGCACCACAGCATTTCAGAACGCCGCTGAAATAAATGTAGACACCCTTTTAAAACGATTTCGTGTGTATCAAATGCGACTGTGGTAGAACAAAAAACCAACAATTGGAGCGAAAAAGCGGAGTATGTATTTGATCTTGGCTGGCGCCGCGGCTATGTGATTTCTACCTGGCCGCATGCGGCAAGATCGTTGAAAACAATCTGAAAGATACAAGAGTCCAGGCTATTTTCCGATGTTTGGAGAACTTCTTAATAATTAGTGCCACGGAGGTAGAGGACTAGAGAAACTGATGCAGAAGTACAGTTCTGAGATGCTTTTAAGAAAGTTACCCTGACCATGTTTTCACGCATGCATCACCTGTAAACTAAAATATAAAAAATATAAAATTTTTAGACCTCACTTTGATTTTTAATCAAAAACAGGTGTGCTGGAGGTACGAACCCCGGTCAGCAAAAGGGTTTCTCTCCTTGCCATTTGGGCACTCAAGAACGATTTAAAGAAGTGTCGCCAGCAAGGCTAAATCTCTGCCCTACACAGATCGTGTAAACATCAACTAGGGCAAAGCTTTGAAAAAAAGGTGTCACGACTACGAGAATCAGAATAGTCAACAAGTCTCATGGTACCCGTCTGTGAGAACATCTGCAAAAACTTGAAGTGTACAAGGCCGGAAAATGAAAACGTAGGCAAAACTTGAAGAAAGATCGCGGAGCTACCCTACAATCACAATATTGCGCACAAGTTGAAAAAGATTGTTACAAGAAATGACATTCAAGTTGTATGCTCCGCGCCGAACAAAGCCTACTTCTGCACTCAAGTAATCCGAAGAACAAAGGAAAAAATCCTGCGTCACAGCTCACAGATCGCAGTATGTCCCATGCACAAAAGGGTTGGTGAGTGGCAAATGTTACATCGGCCTTTCGTGCGGGAAATGCTACATCAGACTTTTATGCGGGAAATGCTACATCGGCCAGACAGGTCGATGTATTAACAACAGAGCCCGCGAGCATGCAGCGTCTCTTAAAGGAACAGTGGCAGCACATCTGGCAGCTCATTTTCTGACATGCGATTGCATTGCAGCATTTAACAGCACAACCGTTTTTGTTAGTAGCAGTAAGATGCTCCAGGCGCTCGCTACTGAGGAAAAGTTAAAGGTTGCGTCAGCACCCCATCAGCACTGTTTACAAGAAAGAAAGACAATGCCTACGAAATGTCACACTCCGAACAACGACTGCACGAGCTTGTGGCGTGTTAGTTCAAAAACAATATTTTTAGGGGTATTTTATGTAATTGTTTTGTATAACTTATATAATGTAAATATCGGTAGTGTAATTTATTAGTGGAATAGCTTTATTTATGTAATAGGTTTATCCTGCTCTGCTTTGGACTCTAAATGAAGTAGCAAACGATCAAGGAAGAGGTACAGATTAAAACACCGTTAGCATTTGGCTGTTTGTCCTCTCCTGTTCTTTCTTTGTTCGTGTTGAAGTATAATTCTAAAGTTCAAGTTGATATATCTACATGTATGTACCAACAAGCTCAACACTTAACCGCTATTAAAAACAGTTGCTTCAATAACACGTAGCACATGGACACCGCCGGGTCCTATTTTTAGAAAATGCCAAAGTTTGATTTTTTTTATATCAATTCGACATACCCGGTGGTTGGTAAGAATCTTTCGTAATGCTTTACAGCAAAAACATTATGAATTAGGGTATCCTCGATGCCAGCATTCAGGTGCACATATCTGTTTCCGTTAACTTTATTTTCGTAATAAAAGTGCACGATGAAACGTTTTTGATATTATGGTTTAAGGACGGCTTCTTCAGTACAGTGAAGAGTAGCGAGTCCTCTTTCTAAAAAATGCCAAATTGTGTTTTCCGATAAGTGCTAGACATTTCGGGTGGTTGCTAAAATACCCGTAGTGTTTTATAGCAAAAAACATGGTGGATAAGGGTGTGCTAGAATTGAACATCCCAGTTCATCACAGCCTGTGAACATTGTTTTTGTCATACAAATTACATGAGGAAGCCTGTATGAATGTGTTCAGAGCATGAGTGTAAAAGTATACGCATTTTTGAGTTCGATATTACTGTCTAAGAACTGTTGCTTCAGTAACGAGGAGCGAATGGATACAGCAGGGTACTATTTCTAGAAAATGTCAAAGTGGTTTTTTGTATGAATTCGATATTCACGGTGGTTGCTAAGAATCCCCAATAATACTTTACAGCAAAAACATTATGGATTTAGTTGTGCTTGATGTAAACATCAATGTGCACAGCTGTTTCGTGATATTTAGTTTTGTAATAAAAATTACAGTATGAAACGTGTAGGAATCTGTTCAGAGAAAGACTGTGAAGGTATGCATCTTTTCAATTTTGATATTACCGTCTAAGAAAGCTTCGTCAGTAAGAAGCAGTGAATGAATACAGCGGGGTCCTATTTTTAGAAAATGTCAAAGTGTGATTATCGATACGATACCAAGGGGTTCGAGGAGAGTAGCTTAGTCGGGACAAACTTATGGGGGTATTCGACTAAGTTTAAGAAGGCCTTCAACTGAGAGGGATTCGTATGAAGTGGGGAAGTTGAAGACCATGTCACTCTTTGCCGGAAAGGGTGCTAGTCCCTCCACAGAAAAAACAATGGCCAAGGAACGACAGTTCTAAAGCTTTAAAAACGGTTTTCTTCTTAACTTTCATGTCGGCCTCTTGGATTCATTTGAGGAGTTGACGGAGATTGTCATCGTGCCCTTTCTGAGATGACCCATAGATGATTGCGTCGTCCAGATAGAACTGGACTCCTGGACGGTGTTTCAGGATCTTAGACATGACCTGTTGGGAAGCCTTTGGCGCAGAAGCTAAACCAAAACAAACTCGTTTAAATCAAAAAAGCCCTTCGTGAGTTATAAATGCGGTTGCGTCACGACGCTTTGAATCAAGGCGGGCCTGGTGATACGCAGACGCAGGATCCAACTTTAAAAAATGAGACGCTCCACTGATGAAGTTCAGGAGCTCATCAATGTTTGGGAGCGGAAAAGAGTCTATGACGACTGCCTTGTTCGGCACTCGCAGATTGACACACATACGGATTCCACCGTCTTTCTTTTTGATTACTGCGATGGGGGATACCCATTCTGATCTGTTTACACGCTAAATTCCGGCTTGGCGCTCGAGCCTCTGGATTTCTGCAGTGACACCATAATTCAAGGTGATCAGCAACCGACGAAGCATTGCCTTACCGGCAGAACTTGGTGACGGACAGTGGCAGTGACAATGAAAACGAGTCTTTGAAATTAGCTATACCTAGTGATTGTATTCTTGTTGAAATACACTATCCAAATAAGAATGCGATTTCACTGCCAACCAGGAAACTTCTACAATCCCTTTTAAAACCAGGTAGCGTGTTGTTAAAGTTAATGTTGAAGTTCGTTCTATTTAGAGTTTTAGTTGTTTGAAAAATGAAAGTTTGTTGACCATGGTTGGTTCTTATGGCCGGCATCCTTCGCTTCGGATTTCTAATCGTATATGCACTAAGGCTGTTCGCTGGTGTGGTGTAAAGTCTACTTTTATGTATCCATAGTAAAAGTTTGAAGTAATATAGTCTGTGATCAGTACAAAACGCCGTGGCTTGCTGACTTTGGTGTGTTCCTGCATCATGGCAATGCCCGCCTTCACACGGCACGTGCGACAGCGCAAGTATATCTAATCTACTTTTTTAGTGCATTCAGCATCCGCTGTACTCGAAAGGCCTTACACCAAGCAATTTTAATTTGTTACAACCAAGCAAGGCAGTTCTCGGCGGAATGAATTCCCGTACAGGGGATAGGCTAAAACCAGAGGTGCATCCTTGTCCTCAGACTCACTAGCAAGATGTTTTCTGCCGTAGCATTCACGGGTTCCTGAAGCGTTGGTGCAAACGTGTTCAACGCGGGAGGAACTGTGATAAAAATAAAGAACTGTATATCGCTTTTACTTTTGTTTCTATTATAATACGGATAAAAAAAAATGTTGCCTTTACCCTTTCACACTGCCTCCTACAGATAGATTATATTGTGTATACATATTTGCTTTTCAATAAGATGCATCCTTTTGTATTTCGCAATATATATTTCAGAGCGCACAAAGATGAGAAGGGCGAATATGCATCTTCAAACACTAATGAGGTTAACTACGCTTGTTTGGGTGCTTTCTGTACTAAATACCGGACGGAGCATTCTTACATACACTTCAGGTAACAGCTTTTCGAGTACCTTTCAATGACTAAATCGCAACTTAAAAATGCTTAAACTTGAACTCAAACATAGTATTTACGGCTGAGCCATTAATTTGATTGAAGGCTACAGGCTGTTTTAATTGTTTATGATAACCAAAATACATATACGTTATTTAACAATTTATAAAGAACCTCTGCTGTGATGATGCTTAGACAGGCATAGCAAATAAAAATGTGAATTTTTAAAAATTAGTCGGTATTTATATAATTCTGTATGTGATATATTGAATAAAGTCTTTATAAAATGTTGGTACCCCTAAAATTATTGACATTTATTTATAAACGGTGGGCAGTACAAGAGCTAAAGCAGGAAAACCGCTACAAAAGCCATGTACAAAGATTTTTTATACAAAAATGGACGAGCGAGAAACAAAATAGGATAAACATTTGTTTTAAGCTGTACCAGATTTATTCATCAGACAATTGTGTTGCAACAGAGTTGATTTGATAAATTTATGGCTCAGCGAGCATAACATGAAGAGTACTTTTGTAATTCATGTGAAAAAAGTACTCAGCTTTATGCAGTAATTATTACAAAATAAGAGTTTTATACTTCTAAAAAAACACATAATCAAGGTTTTTTTTACAAATACCCTTGCACTGAATCGCGCCCCAAATAAGCCAATGGGATGAATATTGTTTGGTTTTAGTGCTTTAGTGTTGATCTTTCTTTTAACATTTAATAGAAATAAAATAAAAAAAAGACAAGGACTCTAAACGTTACAGTTGAAAGCTGCTTTAAAATCACATTTCCCATGACATTTTAATCAAAATTTGTTTGCTATAACTTTTTTCGTTCCCGTGGCAATATTTATTTTAGAACTACTCCCGTTGAAGACAATTGAAATCACGAAATTAGTCGCATTTTTTTTTGCAAACATACTTGTAAACGCCAGAGTAGCACAGGAATCTCGCCAAAACACTTATCATATTCAAATCCCGGAGTAGTTAAGGTTCTTATCAATCGGCTTCAATGCTGTTGTAGTCAGCAGGTTGTTTTCAGAAGTTTAGTTCCAAGCAAGCACAGTAATAAAAATGGCATTATTTACGACATGGTGTTTCTTTTATTTGCGATTAAAATCATTCTTCACCACTTTATGGACTTCTTTGTAAGTATGGAATTTCTATGCTCTCAAAATTGTGCTCTGAATTTGCTAGCTAAATGACAACTTCATGCCCTTTAGAGACTTAAGTACGTTTATCGCATTGTTCAATTAAAATACTTAATACTCGTGCAATTGCCGTTCTTGTGATAAATATTTTCAAAACATATTTATTGTATACTTTATGGCAGATCAATTTATTTTGAAATGAATCGTACATTCTACGCTGACATTAATTATCTTCGGCTCAAGACAGAGTTTTGGAGATACAGAACAATCAGCAACAAACCGTTTCGAAACACTGAATAATATTGTTAAAAAGAATATATGTACTCAGCGGAGGAAGCGAATGGTCGAAGAAGTACATTGCGCGTGACCTCTGAGCCTGTCTTGTAAGTACAGATGGAGGGGGGCGTAGATTTCGCTTGGTGGTGCCGAGGTTAAGACATCACCGTACTTCGCAAGCAGCAGAGTAGGCTGGCCTGCAGAGCAGTTAAGGCCGGCGGACGTGGGTTGCACTTGCTTTCCACCGGAACCTTTTTTTGCCTTTGTGTACTACGGCTTGCGCATTTTATTTATTGGGGATAACATCTAGTTAAAATACGACCCAGAGTTTACAGTACCTTGCACCCAAATCTGTATAATAATTATTAGGCATCAACTTTAGCGGCATGCTACACAGCGGTCAGAAAACATCTTCAATCAATCGCCATTTTAATTCACTCTAAAGTGGTTTCATTCTAGATAATGACAAGGTTTGCCAGTCCCAGGAATGTAGGAATATGGGTAAGCCAAAGCACTTTAGAAAATTGAGACAAATTTATTTCAGTAAATTAACGTCTTAGTAAAATTGTCGCAGTTATTACTGACCTTGGAAAGAAAATTGTGCGATAAGTTTAGTACTACTTACAGCGTGTCGATCAAATATTTGCGGGCATTTACGCCTTTTCTGTTATCATATTTAAGACATTATAACAATTCTGAAGAAATATGAGCTTTTTGAGCTCTACTATAACAAGTGGCTTAGATGCCGTCTTTATAAAAGGAGCTTGAACAACGAACAAAATTTTGCCATTGCTGAAATGACACTTGAAAAATTATGAGAGAAAATGAAAGTCGTTTACAAATCCCTGTAACCCCGAATTAGAGCTCAGCTCTTGAGGCGGAGGAGGGGAGGCTACGGAGAGGATGCTATGCCCCTCCTCCTTTCCTACTCGCCTCCCATTTAGTGGAAACGTTTCCGCTAAATTTCGTGGGAAAATTTTTCCGCTAACTTTAACGGGAACATTTTCCCGCTAGATTTGGCGGAGAAAATTTTCCGCTGAATTTAGCGGCGAAGTACTTTCGGCTAAGTTTAGCGGGGAATTTTTTTCCACTATATTTGGCGGGGAAATTTTCCCGCTAAATTTAGCGGAAAAGTTTTTTGCTAGATTTAGCGGGAATGTTTTTCGCTAAATTTGGCGGGGAAACTTTTCCGCTAAATTTAGCGGGGAATTTTTTTAGCTCAATTTAGCGGTGAACTTCTCCGCTAAATTTAGCGTGAAAATTTACACATAATGCACCGCGCGGTTCCGCCGATGCCGGCGGCGACGCGGACGCCACTGAAGACGGAAACGGGCGCCTAAGAGCTGCGCACTAAAATGAAGCCGACACGTTTTTATCATCCGAGGCAACTGTTCTTCGACAACATGGTAATAGTTAGAGCAATAGGAATTGTAATAACATTACCTTTTGTAGGAGGGCCACGGCACCGCGGAAGAAAACTAGACCATACCATGAAGGCCTGCGGCGCCCCATCTAATGATGAGGTTATCAGATAATGTACGGATGGCAGAGGTGCTGACGATGTATAAATGCGGTTGGAGGAAAAGGGTTTACGCTATTTCATGTAGTTTTGGAACTGCTCTCTTATTGTGTAATTTATTAGTCCCCATAATATCCTTTTATTCTGCAGTAAGAGTATTCAAATAATATCCTTAATGTAGTGTATGACCAGTCAAGACAAACTTTAAAAATAATTCACATAGAGTACCTAAATATTGTCACGGGTGGTGACCAAAGAACAGGAAATAAACAGGAATAAATAAAGGTTTAATGTGGCGAACTTGTGCCAAAAATAAAAGGGTACAAAATATAATAACAGGGCGTCGCGGGCGTCGAAGTAGGCGTAGCAGCACAGTCGAACGCTGGGGCGAAACTGACTTCGCTCGCCTTGCGGAATCGATTATGTAGACTAGTGGGTTTCTGGATCGTTCGGCGTAGAAGGTTCGGGGCGTAGAAGATTCTAACCTCTAAACAGCAAGGCGGTTCTCGAATTCACCAGAACATCACTTTACAGAGTGAACAAAAATGCGCCTCCGCGGCCAGGAATCGAACCCTGGCTTTCAGTGTGGAAAGCACGCGCGATAACGGTTAGACCACGAGCGCGCTGTCTTCTTGGTCAGCTGCGCTCGCGGCAATATTCAGTTGACCCACTTTTCAATTTGTCACACTAACGATTTTCGGGTCCAATAAGTACGTTAACACAAAACACTGAATGGTTACAAAGTGTCACAATCAGGTGTTTTCAGGGGCGGACGCAGGTATTTCTTGAGGGGGGGGGGGGGGGGGGGGGTCAGGTTTTGGTCAGCGTATCATATGTTTAAGACCCCCCTTCCCGTTTCCACTAAATGTTTACACATGCAAAATTCAAGAGGGGGTCAGGACGTCCGGACCCCCCCCCCCCCCCCCTCTGCATTCGCCCCCGGGTTTTTCCGTTCAATGGACATTTGCGAGAGAAATGGTAATACCATCTGATATGTGTTTTATACATTGGATAAATAAAATTGCCTCGCTCCTCTGGTAACGAAATGAGCAGAAGTTTGTAACATCAAGCTTGGTAAATATATTTTATATTTTTATATCGTAAAGAGACGTGCAGTAATTAGATGTAAATAAAATGTAGTACATTGCACTGCTGAATTGCAGTCCATTGAGTGAAAACACTTCCTTAGTAACTTGAATTTTTTAACCTTGCATAAAATGTGTGATGCATAAAACTGAATGTGCTGTCTTGTGTTTATATTGTACTGACAGTTATATATGACTGCTGGATTATGTTTAATTGTACCTCTTTATTTGTCCAGCATTCCATGTGTAAGACGTTTTGTGTTTGTTATGCGTTGTGTGACTCAGGGCACTATAGTAGCGAGCAATCCCTTATAAAACATATGTCACAATACGTATTATTTCTGAAATGTCTTCTTAAAATTGATCGAAAGTTATAATATTAGTTAAATAGATTCATATTCACGCAACAATAATGGCAAGAATAGCACCCATGCGAACACGCATTCACGATACACGTTTGATAAGATTGAAGATTTAATAACGAAGAAAATACTCTATCTTTTCTTTTGGGTTTTCTGATAAATCGCTATAATACCATGTCGCTCACAAGAAACAACTAAAAATAAAATGTTTTTTAGATAATCGATTTTGAATTTGCAAGCTTTCGAAACATTTGTTTATTCGATTTTTGTAATATGTTTCATTTTATACACATAATATAGTACATATTTTGGACATACGCTTATAATAAAATCTTTTTTGAGAGTGTCTCAGAGGAGCCGTAGTGCAGTATCACGTGCACTTGAATCGAGAAAAGCCTTTAAAGTACCCATATATATTGACTTGGTAGCGTGTCCCGCTATGATTTATCACATAGCTGGCGTAAGGTAATGAAAGCATCGCATCAAAATTTCAAAGATTGAACTTACCGAAGTAAAAACTAAATGAAAATATATATCTTTCTTTTCTTTCTACCTTCGGCGGCTGTTTGCGAATTGCGCACCCCCTGACTGACGCAACAACCGGCAGATGGAGGCAGCGCGGTCCCTGAGGCAAACAGCAGCTCAGCAGCCGTGCGGTAGCGCCAAAAATAATCATACACTGACAATTAGAGTATCAAAAAAGCGCACGCCGTTTATGGTCGGAAAAAGTTGTCGGCTTTTGGTACAAAAGCAGGCAATATTGTCTGCTTATTAACGGCTCGGGCTTTCTTAGGGCTCTGGTAGTAAATGTATGATTTATTTTTTCTTCCTAACAAGACACGTTAAATGGACACACGCAAACAATAAAGCAGGTCATTTGTCGAGTAATTCCAGCTAAATGCCGTCTGCATCTGACGTGACCGGGCCGCTGCTGAGGTACCCTAAGCCGCACTAGGGGAAGCTCCCTGAGCTGTCGGTGCCGCTGCGTTATGTACCGGTTGTGGCGCCAGTGTGCGCAGTTCGCAAACGGGCGTACCGTAGGTATGTAAACAAGTTATTGTTTTTTACCCTTAGTCAGGTAAGTTGATTTTTTGAAATCTTGAACCGGTGCTTCCACCACCTTCGGGCACCTCTGTGGTAAATCGTAGCTCGATACGCTATCAAGTCGATTTTTCAGTCACTTTAAAGGCTTCCCAGGGTTTGGGAGCATCCGATGGTTTGAGAAGTGGCAAAATATCGAGTGGTCAAACGTAAGATCTTCGACCGGCGGGAGCTTTCCGCCTCGGTGTGTTTAGTGGTCAATAACTTGAAAACAAAAAAAAATCACCAGACGTGCCGTTCGCGCTTTACTTTATTTCAAAAGTTCGCCCTCAACATATATGAGTTTTTCGTAAACATTAAACATCCTGGCCCAAACCCCCTGTCGGTTTTGAGATTAAAAAAAAAAACGTGTGCAGATATGTATATCCTATAAATATTTTCCTAAACCGACGAGCTCAATAATATAGCACTGCTGAAAAAAATAAAAGACGTTTACAACTCTCTCTAATGCCGAATTAGAGTGCAGCTTCTGAGGAGGAGGAGGGGAGGGTACGGAGAGGAGGGTATTCCCCTCCTCCTCCTCAATACCCTGTCCTCCTCCCTTCTTCTGGCGTCCTCGTCCCCCTCCCCTCCTCCTCCTTGTCCCCTTCTCCTCCTCCACTCCTCATCCCTCTCCCCTCCTTCATTCTTCTCTCATTCCCCTCCCTGCCTCCCCCTCGTGACTTCACTCGTGACGCTCGTGACGTCACTCGTGAAGGCCTCGTGAAGTGAAGGTCGTGTGAAGGTTGTGACCTTCATGTGACCTTCGCTGTGAAGGTCGTGACCTTCATAAGTGGCCGTGACGTCACGTGTAACGTCATTATAGGAAACGTCCCATGCTGCAACGCGAGGGTCACGAGTAACCCGCGCGTTGCATCATGGGATGTTTTCCATAATGCAACGCACGGCACCCTTTTGACGTCACTCGTGACGTCATTATGAGAAATGTCCCATAATGCAGCGCGCCGGTCACCAGTGAGACCCGCTCGTTTCATCCTGGGATGTTTCCAATAATGCAACGCCCAGAACCCTCATGACGTCACTCGTGACGTCAATATGGGACACTTTCCATAATGCAACGCGGGGATACAACGATGGCGACGGCGAGGGCGACGCTGCTCAAGCTGGAAACGGGCTGAGAGAAGAATAGTAACGATAAGTCAAAAATTTACCGAACTCTAGTAATTAACTATTTATTAGTCAAAATAAACACATGATTTCAATTAGAAACTGGCTGAGAATCAACATAGCCCACTAAATCAGTACACTTTAAAAATATTTGAAAGTGAACGGAGCACAAAAATCGCAGGTGCTAGGTGCGCGGTGGTCTTATCCGCGTTACCTCTAGCTTTACGCCTGTGGCAGGAGAGGTAACTTTCGAGCACCACCGCACATCCCACGCGCTTCATATCTTGCCAGAATTACTGATTTATCGGTTTTAAATAACGCTCTGCAAGTTTATAGTTATAACGGTTTGTTTTCGTTTTGAACACTTAAACCTTTAATTAACACATTTCAGTTATTTCATTCGATTGATCATGACATTTAGTCTTCCATTTTATTGCACCTGACCGTATCGCTCCCCTGCGCAGACCAGATAAATGTAGTTTTCATAGCGTTTTCTAAACAAAGCTGAAAAATACTAAAGAAAATGCGCCTATAGTCATTACGCCTTTTCTTGTTTTCTAGTCACATGAAAGATAAATTTGAATTCGAAAATGTGTGTTCAACTCGGTTCCATCAAGTGAAACACTGGACCTCAGCCATTTTATATAACGATCTAGTAAATAAGGCATCCATCTACAAAAAGATAGTTAGGTATCCTATTATATTACATTTTGATGTAATGCTAATGCAGATTACATGATTGTAAATGCTAGCGGGGAGCTTAGCATGATTCAGTTATATTGTAAGTGCTGGCGCATTACATTTGAAGAAATCAATGTCTCGAGTTTTGCTATGCGGTTTCAAAACCCTCGCATTGTATTTGGAACTTTACCTCGAACTAAAAATCAACAAGATATATTAAACTAGATTTTATGGGAAAGAAGGTTGTTTTTTTCTTTCAGATAAAATAGGTATCTTGGAATGTCAAAACGTTTTCTCGCATTCGGGTTCCAGACATAACATTATGTAGCGTGGATTACATAATAGACAGCCTTGTTTAGAAATAGTGGGTTGGTAGGAAGAATAAACATGCTTTTTCACTGTCCAGATAATAAATATTTTTTTCCTAAAATGTAATCTCTCTTTTTATTGACCTCGATAAACGTGAAGTGACCGTCGCATAAAAGTGCAAAATAATTATTTCTTTAAAAATATATTTCAGCAAAACAAATTACCGACGCCATCGACACTAAGGTGGATCCTTGCGCCGACTTCTTTTCGTATGCATGCGGGAAATGGAAGGAAAGCACACAAATTCCCAGAGGCATTTCTGCAGTTAACCGATTCGCAGAAGCAGCGAACAGAAGAGATCAGAAAATGGGACGTACGTAGCAGAATGTTTTTGTATGTATACATGGTCAAAATTAGATATATTGCAACTGCTTTGCTACACTAATAACACGAAGTGTTGAAATTTGAAAACTTAAAAAAAAATAGATCGTAGAGATACATTCTTCTTTATGTAGCATAGATATGTAGTGAATCCCACTAACTCAAATTTGAGATAACGATCAGCAGGAATAACTCAGTGCGAAATATTTAAGGCCGCGTTGGTGGAAACGCTTGAATTCTGCTTGAAATGCACAATTGCATTCACAAATAAGTAGGTTGCCGAAGAACCAAATTACATTTAGTTAGTCAAAGTGCAAAACAAAAATTGTGTGTGTGTGTTGTTTTGTTTTTTTTGTTTTTTTAAATTCTGCAAAAAGGCGATTTTACCGAACTGAATACTGAACTGCCCATTCGTTTTCCTCTAAAGTGTAGAACATATACAATGACACTGTACATATGCTTGTCTTCTGAAATCGCTGTAAACTCGAATTGTTCTCTCCGCGTCATTTCAATTACCGTCCATGCAGCTTCTCCATTTTGACATCTATATATTTCAGAATTACTAAAACAACTGACTTATACCAGGGGAGACCAGTCCATCGATCACAAACTGGGCATTTTATTCAGAAAGTGCACGGAGAGTAAGCATTACAATTCTGCTTTCTTTAGATTGTCTCAAAACATAAATTGCCGCCGAATGGCCACATTTCAAAAGTACAGTCGGCAGCACTAGCTTGCGGGGCACGGGAGCGCAATCCGAAAAGACACGCTGCGCCTTCTGGCGGCGCGTTGCCGCTCTCAAAACTCCCGCTTTGCGCATGCGCTTCCCTGTGCTGGCGCAGTCATGTTTTTTTTTTTTGTTTTTTTTCGCTCGTCGCACCGAGGCTGACGCAAAGTGCCGCGAAATGTTTGTATCATGCGAGCGCCGTCTCCCAACACGGTGGCGAAGGCAAAGGCGCACGGCTGTCAAAGAGGCACCCTGGACCGGTGTCGGTTATCTCGCCTGCGTTGGATGGAAGCGAGTAAAAAATGCGTGACTGCGAGCAAGACTGAAAGAAATAGTTCTCTTTTATCCTCGGAATTTCACCACGACCAAGACGCTTCTAAACCAGTGGCGGCCCGTGCGTGTAAGGTCATGAATATTTCAACCGGATATTGTTTCATAACCCCTTCAAATTGTACAACCGAAGGCCGTAATTGAATCTCCAACTGTACTTTTCTTCTGACGTTTATGCTTTCTTGCACTGGTCACGTGGAGAAAACTGGCAGGCTTGCAAAGACGGTGCGACCGGGAGTTTCTTGAAACGCAAGTGGCAGTTCATGTTTGTAAACAGTGAAATGGTATATTGAAACGGAAACAGGGGGCTATGTTCGACAAATGTTTCGTTTCTCCTAAAAATAAACGGAAGCGACGATATCGCGTTTGATTGGTTAGAGGTTAAATGAAGCAAGTTACGTATTTTCGCCATTCGACTTTCTAACCAATCAAACGCGATATCGTCGCTTTCGTCACTTCTGTTTCTTTTTAGGAGAAACGAAACATTTGTCGAACACAGCCCTCTTGGACTACTATCAGAAGCATGCTTGTAGAGTACTTACAAATAAAACAGCGATCTCATGTAATCCGTGATAGGTGCATAATCTGATTCGGGCAGCACAGAACTATCCACAAACACAATGTCGAGGATGAAGGCGGTCGCTCACATTCAGCGGAATTTTCGCGGTCGCCGATGAGCACCTCTTTGTCGTGATAGATGCGTAATCCGATTTGGGCAGCACGAAATAACGCAAACGCAATGCCGAGGTTGAAGGCGGTCGATCACATACAACGGAAGTCTCGCGGCCGCCGATGAGAAGCTCTTTGTCGAAACGTGTTCAACAAATACAGCAAAATAATTCCATAGACTCCGACGAAATAAACGACCATTTCCGAAAAGTTGGCATGGATGTATTCCGGCCGTTCACGACGAAAAATCAGGGCCGCGACTGAAATGCACGAAAAACAGGAACACACTGACGGGCGCCCCCCTTTTTGTAAACCGGACCTACGTGGCCCCTAAAACTCACCATAACTTGGCATACGGTAAAGACTACGGCCCCAGTAGCCCATCAGCGCGTCAGAGCGAGTCACGTGACAAATTTTCGTCCAAGCGTTTTTGTCCTACGGAGAGCGGTCACGTGTTTCGCGCCACCCCTCTGATTTGCTAGAAGCGGCCTTCGCACTCGCTCACAGCAACACGAAGACACAAAGGAAGGTTTGGAGGCTTATCAGAAGACGAGGTCAAAGGGGGTTGGACAAAGCAGCTAATCTTCCTCTGCTGCTTTGTATTGCCACCTGCCCTGCCCAGGGAAGGTCGCGAAATTGGACTCGTCAGGACTTGCTTTGCGTAGTACAACCTTGAGCGTCTCAAACTGCCACTCATATAGACCGTTCCATTAGGGTCATAGCAGAGAAGGTAAAAAGAGAAAAAAATGTCCTCCCCCTCTCGCCCGATGTCGTCTGCTCCGCCGAGTGGGCAGTACCTAGCATCCGGCCGGCGTACAAACTCTGTTTAAAATCGCGTCATTTTGGCAATTTAAAGCGCAGATGCGCAGATTTTGGTATGCCAGTTATCGTGTATTACCATGCTAGATAAAAAAGACTAACAGAGTCTAATTGCGCTGTTATCTGCGTGCAAATAAAAACAAAATAGGGAAAACTCTGTCAGACTGGCCGGTCTCTCCGGCGAAAAGTGAATCCGGTGGCTGTACCTCTTTTACTATACAAAGTTCGTACTGGTATAGGCCTTTAGCGACCATGAGTGGATGTCTGAAATAATAAATAAAAACGTGCTCTCCTGCCGCAATACACGCAGTAGTTGAGGGTAGCACTGCCGGCTGACTCAACTGCTATTTAAGTAACGGAAAAAAGGTATGTAAGTTGATCATTTACCGAAGTAGAACAACAGAGAGCTCTAGGCTGATTTTGGAGTAGCCATAACTATTCTAAGAACGCGAACCACTTCACAACGGCAGCCACGAGCGAGAGTTCGATGTTCCGTACAGCCCGCCGATACAGCCCAAAGATGGAGAACGGTAACCTCCCGGCTTGTCGTCTGCTAGCTGAGTCGGGCGCGTGCCCTCTCTCTCGTTTTAAACGCCGAACCCGCTGAATTTCCCGGATGTATGGAGAGGGCGCTGCTGTCAAACAAAATGGTGCCGCCCAGAGGGCGCTAAATGGAATGGTCTATAGACGCGCATGCTCTGGTGCGGACCGCGATATCGCAAAATAAATACGAAAAACAAGTTTGAACGTCGTCGAAGACGCGGTTTCACGTGTATCAAAGAAAAACCGGAAAAAAAAAGCGTCGGGAAGCTAGATATTTTGGTGTCATTTCGCAGAGATAAGAGTGGCGTCCCTGGGGGTGTCATTAATCCGGCACTTTTGATTGTCTTGCGACATTGTTTCTTCAGAGCTACAGCCCAAAATAAAGTCTCAGTGAATTAGGTGCTATAAGTAGTGCGAAACCCAGTCAGGTGAGTTTGTAATATCCGAAATGAGGGCGCCACACTTTGTTCAAGTCTTCAGCTTAAAAGGTCTTTCTCAGGTTAAAAGTAAGCAGATTCTATTTCGCTTAATCTTGCTTTGTTTTGTTTTTTAACGTCGGATTTTAGGCAGTCAAGAAATAGAAATACCTCGCCGGCATAGCCGATTCATGCAGGACACTCTTGACAGTCAACCAAAAACGGCGCCACGTACGGTGTGTCAGGATAGCGTCGGCGCGACCCTTCCCATTTTTTTACAGATATTGGCTAGACCAAAATAATATCGGCACAATATTTCCGATTTAATTCCATAACAGCGCAATACTGTGTGTTGCCTAGGTTGTATATTTACACGTCTTTGTTCTTTTTTTTTTTTGCGGGCGGAGAGGATTTTTTTTAAAATCAAGGTTGAACCGAGAAAAACTGATGCACGCGCGAAACGTAATTTTAGGCTCGTGTCGGACGAAGAGTTCAATAGGAGTTGCAAAAACTATTCTCTAGCACTTCCTAATCATACGCGACTCCGTGTGGCGATTAATTATACTCGATGTTTGTACCGCCATACATCAACAACAGTTTCTCACCAAAGCAATGAATATGAACGGCTATGAAATCATGGGTGTATTTGACAGCATCGCCATTACGCCCCTTTCACACCGTGTGGATGAAGGACGTAAAATTCGCCCGTACACCCTTTTTACACGATTTCAGACACCGTCGCTGTAAGTGGGGCGTAAAGAGGGCATGTGAAGGGTGTAAAACGTCAGCACACCCTTTTTACACCCACCGATATTCAGAAATCGTGTAAAAAGCGTTTTTTCTAACCTACACCCTTCTTACACCCTTTTTACACGATTATGGGTGTTACAATGTTTAGTGGGTACGTCCGAAGGTGTAGTCGACCGGCAAAAGAGAGCAGACGACACGCAGATAAGATCTGTTGGCAGCAATAGCGCCGTCGTTATGGAAACGCGTTTCCTTTCCTTAAGTTTTGCTTTTCCTGTACGCATTTATTTTTTAATCAAAAGTACATTACAAAAGGATTATGTCCCTACTGAAAAAAACCATTTGAAATTCAAACGGGTGGCAAACTGGTCGCCCGTTTGAATCAAACCTGTCGATCCGTTTGGATCAAACGTGATTATGGGATACGGGTACCCGTTTGGAAACGGTACCCGTTCGAAACGGTACCCGTTTGATACAGGTGCCCGTTTGATACGGGTGCCGTATGGTACGAGTACCCGTTCGACATGGCACGTGACCACACGTTTGAACGTGCCCTTCGAAATGGCAAATTATGCGCTAGCCCTAAATGGGTATCGTCTGGGAGGTTGGTTATCTTAAACATATTTAAGACGTCCCGAAACTCATAAACGTATTTATAACATGGAGAAAACACGTAGAACAAATGCACTCGCGTAGGTGCTTGTAAGTGGACAGGAAAACCGACACAAAAGATTGTTTTCAATTCTCCTCGAAGTTTATTACCTCTTCTGTAGACAAGTACAAACGTGCAAGCGATCTGTGAACACTATACAGGTAGATTTTCGGTGAAATTATTCTCCTGGCTGCCGCGCGAATAGGCGCTGCATAATTCTTTAGATAATTTAGAAGAGTACGCGTAGAAGAACGGTCAATCGTTGCCAACACGTAGGTCGCAGTGCACTTACCATAACAATAGCGGACTTGAAAGAGGTAATCCGTGATATTTGTCCACACGGTCAAAGCAGGACAACCACACAAACACAAACGAGAGGGAACGGCTCCTTGGAAGTTTCAACACGATGCGGCGCACAAGCTGTCATTTGCCGAACCCAACCAAACCGCGAGAATTTGCGACTTTGAAGAATCGCTCGTTGCCAACATACACGTGGGTCTTTTCGAACACTGATAGCTTTGGTGCACATCCAATACGTTGTCGAGAGGAGTCCCAATAAGACCGCAGGGTGAGGCGACAGATTGAAGCAGGTAGGACGAGCGAACTTCGAGCAGCAACTGACAACAAGCAGACAAAGAAAAAAGCGGCTGCAAGGCGCGCCCTTCCGGATCTCGATGCTTATCAGCGTGTAGCTCGCGCGCTGCTGTGGGTCACGTGACAGGGGTGACAAGAGAGGAGGGAGGGGGCGAGGTCAAGGCGCTGGGACCACCGGGACAGCCCCTCTCCCTCTCCCCAGGCATTCCAGGGAGATGCGTTTTTGTAGTCCCGAAGAACAAACGCGCGCGCGCGCGCGCGCGCTCGAACTTTGGAAATGGCGGCGGGGCTGCCAGAAGCTCGGCTTGCGCCCAAGAGAAGAAAGAACTCAGCGCAAGCTCGTAGTTTGAGTGCTGCAACGGCGGGCGTGCTCTCGCAATGCTCGATGTTCTTGCAGCCGCGTGTACGCGTGCTACCTTCGCTGTGTCTTGAATTAAAGTGAAACGGAGTCTAGACGTACATTCTTTCACGCGGTCGCGTCTTCTGCGAGAGAGATTCGAGCTGAATAAGTAAATTGAGGCAACAACGATGAACAAAGTATTAAAAGTCTGTCAAAAATATCGGCTCACCAACGTCGCGCGTTTACGTAAAAAAAAAAAAAGTGTTAGTTTTAGTTGCAGTATAATCGAAAATCAGCGCAATTGAAATATAAATGTAATTACTTGCATTACGCGGACGATCTGAAATCGATGAACCGGCGCTCCCAGCCTTCCGGAAAACATTGGCTGCCACGGCTGAAACGCTAGGCGTGCCCACGCCGCCGATCTGTACGTTCAATATCAAACGGGCTCCGGAGAGCCGTTTGATTAAACCGGTGCAGTTTGCAACATGGTCGCCGGTTTGAGCAAACGTGCGACAACTTTGCCCAAACGAGTCGCCCATTTGCCCAGACGAGCGACCCGTTTGCCAAATAGGTGACCGTTATGGCTCATACGGGGGACCCCTTTGAGCCATACGGGCGACCCCTTTGACAAACTGGTGACCAGTATGGTTAAACGGTTACCAGTATGGACCCGTTTATTTTCATATGGGCGCCAAATGGTTTTTTTCAGTAGGGGTTCATCTTAATAAACCACGGTCTTCGCGAGAAGTCTCGATATGGTGGTAGCGCCATTTATCAATACGAGCGCCGAACCCGCCCCGCTATTTGACTTGCCGTCTGCGTAACGTGATATACATCACGGGCACTTTCGCTCATTTTACTTGGTCTCCGAGGAGGAAATAAACGAACCAGGACCTGTCTAGGAGGTGTAATCAGAGCCCATAAAATATTAAACACGGCGGACGTCTATGTTATTTGCAGAATTCATCTTCACCAAAGTCGTGTTTGTGGTCTTTGTTTTTAAGCAAAATAAATAAATAAATAAATATATAAATAAATAAAATAAATAAATAAATAAGCAAAAGAAGTAAATTCATGCAAAGAAAACCCCAAAAAACTCTACTTTTGTTGGTGTTAACGCTCAAGGAATAAAATGCAGTGCGTAGTTTTGACATAACATGGATGTTTTTTTGTTGTTTTTTTTCATTTGTACGTTAGGAAAAAGGACATAAAACACAATTGTGCTGATGCTTTCAATTATTCTTTTAGAGCATTCAGGAGACAAAGAATTAAGCGAACTCAAGCGTCTATTCAAGGAAAAGTTTGGAAAATGGCCGAAAAAGGTTGAATATAAACCCAAACGTGTTGAATCTACGGACCTCCTGAAGACCGTCGGTTTCCTGGGTCTTCTTGGAATAACTGTGGATATTAATGTGAATGATAATAGTAAATACGCTATTGTTGTGAGTATGTTTTCACTATAAAATCGAGTATGCATGAGTAGATAAAAAAATACCTAAATTTAAAAAAAAAATCATTTTTTGAAACGGCCTTTGTAAGGCACGTTTTCTTTACGAAAAGAAAAGTTGAGGAATATATACGCCTTTAGACGTAACTTAATTAGAGGTTACGGTCTTCTCTAAGGTCCGCCCACAGACCAGTGGCCCCGCCTTTACTACTGGATCGACTTGGCTGTTGAACATACTCGCAAGCCTAGTCTATTCTTATCACAACAACCGCTGCGTCTAGTTCGGGATCTCACATCGCCTGCTAGTCGTGCGAGCAGACGCGCGGCACCTAGTGGCATCGTCCGCCATTCCACGACCGTTTATCGTCGTCTTCAACACCCATAAGACACGGACATGAAAGCGGCGCGTCCGCGTTCGGGTCCGTCTGCTATTCCGTCCCCATCTAACTAAAACGTTATTATTATTAATACGAAAGCATTAATGGTCACATGGAGCCAGCCGACGTCATCAGCCGCGCCAAACGGCAGTTCAATTCCCCTCTCCCCATAGAGCGGACTGAAGCCGCGATCTGAGGCTTCCTGGTTTCGAAGCCACACAAAAAAGCCAAGCAAAACAGCACTAAAATGAAGCCAAAATCTGATGGATAGGGCCACCGAGCGTCAGCTTCAAGGAGAGCCACCCCATGGCGCTACGTGCCAGCGCCAAAGCGCTGCGGGAGAAGAAAGCGGTTGGCTGGCCGGGCCCGCGGGGCCTCCCGCCCAGAGCCCGCTGAGGAAACTTCGGAGCGGCTGCAGGCCCATGTCACCGCGGCCTGCCCACTTCACGAAACGAGCGCAAAAACGACATTCATGCTTCTTTCGCAATCACAACTCGTAAGCAGTGGTGATGTGTATCTCGAGCCTTTTATTATTATTAACACCGTCTGCAACGCTTGCAAAACACGGCCACGGAAGCGGCGTCACTGCAGTTCATCATGTACGAGCCACCGTCTGATTCAAGCGTCTGCCAGCATCTATCGATGTGGAATGAAAAACGACCAAAAGATATAAAATTTTAACGGAATAAGAAGGCAATTCTTTCGGGTTTTGTTTCGTTGTTTTCTTCTCGTTTTTTCATTGCGTCCGCGAGCAATTTGGGTGAGAGTCATAACGCACAATTAAAACGTGACAAACATATTCGCTCTAGTACGCCATATGACTGCACAAAATTTGAGAGCTACAGGCCTTTCGAAGCAAAATGTCCAAAACATAACTAAACAAGCATGACGCGAGGCGAACCCTCGATTGATTCAAGATAAATGGCTCACAAATCCTTACCAGTGTAGGTTACCTCTTTGTACTGAAACCATACTAGAAAACAGGACTTTTGCTCGGTTCTGAGTAGGAGGGTCGCTTTCACGGGAATGGACGCATTTATTCGGCATCAAAGTGCGCAAACGAACAAATCAAGTCCGATCGAGCAAAGTAGTTGACGTGGGACGCTAGACTTTTGCAAGTCCGGCTATAAAAACAAGCTCCCGCACAGCGCTTCCGGAAGGCGTGCACTTGCGACAGTCGTCTACGGCAAACTACGTCGGTGGGGAGCTTGCTCTGAATATCTCGGTGAACGAAAAACGACTCGCACTCATAAAAATAGAAAAACTCATTGAGTCACATGGTGCGATCAAATTCTCGCCGAAAACGCCAGCAGCCATGTTTTTCCTTTGAAACCGAAGTAGAAAGGACGATCTAGTCATGTCTTTGAAAACTGTGACTCTCCCTCTATAGTTTGTTCCTCGATTGTAAAGAAATGTCAAATAAAAGACTTCTGCGGCACGGGGAAACTATTTTGCAACAAACATTCCACAATTTCTATCATCTCTACATCCAATGAGAGCCAAGAAACGGAGCTCAGCTAGCTAAACACCTTTTGTTGTGGACTGGGCGTCGATAAGGGCTACCTCCACCTAATTGCTGTCTAATGGCGTAAATATCGCGGCAAACATTTTCTTTTCCGTCCAATAATTTCTTTTTGGCCTGTTGCATTTAGGTTTCTTTTAAGTTTTTTTTTATTTGAGCGTTTTTTTAGGTTATAAAATAACTGTTTATAAACAATAGCATAAATGCACTTTTGTTTTTTACGATAAATTTAATATTCTTAATGATTTCACGCTTCTAGTTCTGGAGAATTTTTGCTTTATATTTACTGAAAACACTACAGGGTATGTTCCTCTTAAATCGTGTTTCCAACACTAAAATCATTTGGTTTATGGCAGTGATCACATTTCAAGAAGTGAGAACGGGTAGACGAAAGTTAACCTACATATACGTTTATACTCAATCAGCAATATTCACGAGTCTTGAAAAATAACGCTATTTTAAAGTTTGTAACACGTCTACGTATTCGCGAGCTGAGTGAAAAATCGATGACTAAAGTGCGACTCTCAGCGACCAGTAGACCCTGCGGTATTCACGAGCGCGAAGCAAGTGAGTTGCCATCTATTCGGGAGTAACAAGCCCAAGAGAAATAAAAAGATAGGTCACCCACGCACGTACTTGGACGTTACGGCGTAAATGAGGATCCCATCACGTAAAAACAAATAGTTAAATATCTATTAGCAAAATAAAATGCTATACTGAGAGGCTAATAAGTGTTCGGGATCGTGTTTTTCAAAGTAAGTGAAAAAAACTGAAGGGCGGAAACACGAAAGCCGCATTGCCAAGCGACATACGCAAATATAGAAGCGCCTGTGGCGGCACGTGGCCCGTCTAGACATGCTCCAGACAGCGGACGGTCCTGTGACGAAGACCGCGCAAGCGGACGGCGGCCGTAGGGGTGAAACCCGGCACCGCTCATTCGGGAGGGGGAGAGCTTGGTGGCGGTGCGTCGGGGGACCGTCGGCTCAAAAGCCAGACGGCTTAATGGGTCCTCCCTCGCCTGCGTAAAGACAGCTCGGCGAGAGGGAGTCTTCGTCTGGGGCTCGAGAAGAAAACACGTATGTTAATCCGCCTGTTAGCTTTGATTATTAAACTTATCTAGTCCTTGTTAAACAGTTATCTTGTTTTACTTTACCTATACTGAAGTTCCTTCGCGACTACACTTGGTGACCCGGTATTCTTTAAGCAATCTTTTCTCGGCGAGCGCCATGGCTAACGGCGACGACCACGCCCAAATATCGGCGCAGCAGGAACAGCAGCAGCAACCATCCTCCGTGGCATCACTGGCTCTGAAACTTCTACCGTTTTGGCCCGCTGACCCTGCGCTATGGTTTGCCCAAGTGGAGGCCCAGTTCAGCACCCGGAGGATTACGGCGCAAATGACGAAGTTTCACCACGTCATCGCTGCACTGTCACCAACTGAGGCAGCTGAAGTCCGGGACCTCATCCTGACTCCTCCCGATGACAACCCGTTCGACAAACTGAAGCTCGAACTCATACGACGTATTTCGGCATCAGAAGAGAAACGTCTCCAACAACTCCTGATGGCCGAAGATCTTGGAGATAGGAAACCATCTCAGATGCTTCGCCGCATGACTCAACTGCTCGGAGAAAAGGCGAGCAACGTGGACGACCCTATCCTGCGCCAGCTTTTCCTGCAGAGCATCCCCGCCAACGTATGCATGGTTTTGGCGGCGGCGGGCGACATTCCACTCCACGACCTCGCAGCTCTCGCGGACAAGGTGCTCGAGGTGGTGTCGCCCACAGTCTCCAACATCCAGGCTCCTCTTCAGGCACAACAGGCGACTGTGAGTGCAACCTCTGCTTCCCCGTCTAGCGCCGAATTCTGCACGCCCCAATCGGAAATCCGGAACCTGACAAAGTCCATTGCTCCGCTCCAAACCGAACATGGTAGATCTCCGCAACGCCGTTCAGGCTACCGCAGCCGGTCTCGCTCCCGGTCATCTTCCACCAACATCTGCTAGTATCATTCCACATTCGGGGACCAAGCAAAGAGGTGCAGACCACCTTTCATAGCGGGAGCGGGAAACGGGATGCCTTAGCACTGAATTCGGCGAGCAGTGCGCAAGAAACGGGGTGCCGGCTTTTCTTCGTCAGAGACAAGTCAACTGGCCTCCAGCTACTGGTCGACACCGGAGCCGAGGTCAGCATCCTCCCTGCTCGCCCCAGCGAATGTCGGCACACACCGTGCGCAATCTTACAAGCAGTGAACGGCACATCCATCCTTGTTTTTGGAGAACGGTCCCTGACCTTCGACCTTGGACTTCGACGTATTTTTCGTCGGAATTTCTTGGTCGCCGGGACTCAACACGCGATCATCGGTGCCGATTTTCTCCGTAAGTTGGGATTATTGGTGGACGTTCGCCGCAAGCGCCTCCTAGACGCAACAACGTATCTCCCCGTTTCGGGAATAGCGTCCAGAACGCCATCGCTCTGCCTCACCCAGATTCCAGAGAACGGTACCTGCCGTTTTTCTAACATCCTCAAAGAGTTCCCCGACCTCACCCGTCCCTGCAACACCGAGGTTCCCGTGCGACACCACGTCACGCACCATATCGACACATCAGGACCTCCCGTGCACGCAAGACCACTGCGACTCCCCCCGACAAACTACGGATCGCTCGTCAACAGTTCGAGCCTATGCTTGACCTCGGAATCATCCGCCCGTCTGAGAGCCCATGGTCATCACCGTTGCATATGGTCCCAGAAGTAACACCTGAAGACTCGCGGACATGTGGGGACTATCGGGCTCTCAACCGGATCACGACAGCCGACCGCTATCCAGCGCCTTACATTCACGATTTCACAGCGACTCTCGACGGCACCACGATCTTTTCCTAAATTGATCTGATCCGGGCCTACTACCAAATCCCAGTCGAACCGGCCGACATCGAAAAGACCGCGGTCACAACACCATTAGGTCTCTTTGAATTCGTCAGAATGCCATTCGGACTCAAAGATGCTGAACAAACTTTTGAGCGTTTCGTCGACCAGGTGCTGCGAGGTTTGCCGTTTTGCTACGCCTACATCGACGACATCCTCGTTGCAAGCGGCTCC